ATACCGGTGCGAATGGCCCGGTTGTGCGAAACGGTTCACTACTAAGCAGAATAAGAATAGGCATATGGACATACATGCGACTATAAATAAGTACCGGTGCTCGAGGCCGGGCTGTGGGCAGGAGTTTTGTGACATAACTGATTTTAAACACCATTTAGAGTTACACAGACACCCGGATAATTACCGGTGCCTTTGGCCGGGCTGTTACCGGCAGTTGAGTTGTAATACAGCTCTAAAGACACATATGAGTGAACACACGGGTAGTCGTAGGTATCGGTGCCATTGGCCCGGATGTGAGTATAATACTCAACACAAAGTGAGTCTCAATAATCACATGAATAAAAGTCATAAGGAGTGATGACTGTGAGCCTACAGGTGCTCTCATAAGGGAACTGACAATAATTGTATTTATAAATTATATAAATAATTAACAATTATTTATAAATGATTTTAAATGTAATTAAATTTAAAGGGCGATTAAAATCGTATTGATTTTGTTTAAAGTTATTTGTATGGATATAATGCGTAAACAAAATGCTTTGAAAAGTGAGAGTATTTTGTGTGAAAAATATTTGTTTGCATTTAATTTGATTGCAATTTAAAGACAAATGAATGCAATCTTATGGATAGACTGAAGAAGTGATTGCTTTCTGAAATATCTTTCATTGAAATACTGGTTTCTATGGTATCCTCACATCGACCGCAGTATTAATACAAACAAATTGATTGCTTTATATCTATTGATTGAAATGAAATACAATTAATAAATGCGATGAAAATGAGAGAAACTTTTGTAAATTTATACATAATGTGAGTGAAAATAACTTTTCAATAGCTTCCGAGACTACCGGTGCTACAGACTAGGCTAACGGGCTATAAAAGTGTTTTAAAATAAATTTATTCAAATTTCTTATTAAATAATGTGAAATTACTTCACCTTGTTTATTTGTACGGTTAATTCAATAGTTATGTACTTGGATTCGTTAATTAAAAATAAAATATAATATTTAAAAAGTTTTTGAACTTTTAGTTGTAAAGTACGAGTGCTTTGAGTGAACATTATTTGTGTGAATAGAAAGTGTAAACATAAAACTAAAGTATATTTCAAATGAATTGTTGTTTTGATTGTATTTTTGGGTTTAATTTGATTGCAATTAACAGCGAATTAAAGGCATAATTGTGTCACAAATGAGTGAATCGTATGAATCGTTGTCTCATTTAAGTCGTGAAGAGTTGTATTCATTAGTGAATGCATTGAAACGTGAAATCAATTGTTTGTCAACAGATTTATCGCGAAATGACTTATTGTTAAACAAATGTCACAAATGTTTAACACATTTATTGAATACAAAACAAATAGATTTGCATTTAATTCGAGAATTTGTGGATTTGATTGCTTTGAATGGCAAAAAAATGTATATCAATTGTGGACCACGTGTTGTGACAATCGGTGGAAGTGTTAACAAAAATGTTAATCAATTTGTGATCAAAGATGAGGCCGAAGACAGTGAGTCCGCGGATGGCATTGACTGCGATGTCAGCCATGAATCAGACGATGAGATAAGCGATGAAAACAACGATGGGATGAATGAAAGACAAGACTCGAGAGGAAGTCATAAGAAGTTGAATGAAACCAATGCTAAGAAAAGACAATTGAAGGGAACGGGAGGACAGTATGACTGCGATTGGGAGGGATGTGGCAAACGGTTTAAAACTATAGCCCGTTTGAAACAACACACAAAACTGCACTCTGGTGTGGCCTACCGGTGCGATATACCCGGCTGTTTGTCTAACTTTCCATGTCTTGCATACCTTCAAAAACATAAGAATCGAGTAAATCATCAAAAGTTTTACGAATCAATGGCTGAGAAGAAGATAATCTCCGGAAGTGTTGATGAAAATGACGACAAGAATACAAACGATAGTCAAAGAGCGAGTGAATTGAAAGCGAAACCAAAGTATCGTTCAATCGATAGAAAGAACGAAGAGTTGAGTGAACGACAGGACTCGAGAGGAAGTCATAAGACATTCAATGAAACCAATGCTAAGAAAAAGCGTTTGAAGGGAACGGGAGGAAAGAATGCGTGCGATTGGGATGGATGTGGCAAACGGTTCGCACGTTTAGATCACTTACAACGACACAAACACCTGCACTCGAGTGTGACCTACCGGTGCGATATCGGCACCTGTACTAAAGAGTTCGCCACTCCTGTGTACCTTAAGAGCCATAAGGCGTGTCATCGGGCGGATAGACCCAAGTCTGAGGGCCGGTATGTCTGCGATTACTTGGGCTGTGGCAAGAAGTTTTCGTCGAGAAGTGGTCTTAAAGGACACGAACCCATTCACTCGGGTGTGACCTACCGGTGCCCTGTCGAGGGCTGTGGGGCTACCCTTCAGTCGCAGTCATACCTCAAAGCCCACCACAACAAGAGACACACGACTCGCCGACAATACCGGTGCGAAGTGGACGGCTGTCAGCACGTGTTCCGCGTCAAAGAGTCCCTAACGCACCACCGGTTGGCACAGCACCCGGAGTCGATGCCGGACTCGCCGTGGTTTGTGTGCCAGTGGCCGGGCTGTCAGTTTAGGACCAAATGTAGACGCTATATACGACTACACGGCCCCAAGCATACCAAACCCTACCGGTGCGATGAGTGCGGCGCTAGTTTCTCGCAAAACCCTACTCTCGTGAGGCACCGGCGCGTACACGACAAGTCCGCCCAATACCGGTGCCATTGGCCGGGCTGTGAGAAGTTGTTTGCGGACACTAACGGGCTGGCGATGCACACGAATACGCATACCGGCGCTCAGGTCTACCCGTGCCTATGGCCCGGTTGTGACAAGACGTTCGTATGGAGGGCTGCCCTCAACTATCACACGAAGTGCCATAAGGGCGGACAGTTAGGCAGCTACCGGTGCTATTGGACGGGCTGTGCGTACAGGTCGACGAATGCCAGTAATTTTAAGAGTCACGTGTATCGGCACAAGGGTTTGAAAGGAATGCCTACCGACGACTACCTGTGCTCGTATAGTGACTGCGGGTTTACGTCTCAAAAGTCGTCGGAAGTGATAAAACACGTGAAGGAAAGCCATAATAATTAATGCGATTATGAATTGAATGAGAGTTTTGTTGAATTTTGAATTTATTTTTGTATAACTTTTTTGTATTTCAGTATTTAATATTTAATTTAATTATAATTTAATTTTTATGAATTATTTTTCACTCAATAAACAAGTTTTTTGATTGCATTTTGTTTCGACGTTTTCTATGCAATGGTTTTTCGCGCAAACATTGAGTGAGCTTTTTGTCGACGTGTGTCTTCATATAGTCGTTGCGTTTGCACCGATACTCACAGCCCGTCCACTCGCACGCAATCCACGCCACGTCCGGCACGAGCTCCGGGTGTACCCCCAACTGGTGGTCCGATACATACCTCTTGATGGCGAACCCTTTCTGACATCCGTTCAGTCCGCACAGGAACTGGCGATTTGTTGAGTGCGTTATTTCATGATTTCGTACGTAGTTTTTACATCCGGATCGGAAGGGACAGCCCGTGTGAGAGCACCGGTATGTAGTGCCGTGTCGTCGGATAATGTGGTCGCGAAACGCTGTAGACGTTTGAAAAGTAGCCTTACAACCAGCGGTGTCGCACCGGTAGGTGATCTCCAAGTGTGTCTCTTTATGGGAAATCATACCATTTCGCGATAGAAACCGCTTTCCGCAGCCAATCCAATCGCAGACATACTGTCCCTCCGATGGCTTATTAAGTTCATCGCTCGTGTGTCCGGACATGTGATCCACGAATTGGTCTTTGGATTCGCTCTTATAGTCACATCCATTGCGATCGCATTGGAAGGGCTGTCCCAACACGTGCTTATCGGTCCACAAGTGAACCTTCAATGCACTCCAGTTCCGGAAGTGTTGGGAACAGCTCTTAAAGTCACAGAAAAATGTCTGATCCGAGTGTGACTTCTGGTGCGATCGAAGACAACCTAAAGAATTGTATATTTTTGAACACTCCTTGTAATCGCAAACATATTTGCCGTCAATTTTGGGAACCTTTTTGTGTTTACTTTTGGGGCGATGTTTGTCTCTTAATAGTGACTTAAGAAATGGTGAGCTTGGTGTTGACATCAGTAGTAGCCTAAGTAACAGAAGCGCAAGTCACCTAAAGAACTCAAAAGAAAACCATAATCAAGAGTTTGATATGAAACCAAAGCTTTTCAATTCACTCTCTCTTTGACTATCATTAGTAGTCTTGTCGTCATTTTCATCAACACTTCCATCGATTATCTTCTCAGCCATTGATTCGTAAACCTTTTGATGATTTACTCGATTCTTATGATGTCGAAGGTAATCAAGACATGAAAAGCTAGCCAAACAGCCGGGTATATCGCACCGGTAGGTCACACCAGAGTGCAGGTGTTTGTGTGGGTCTAAGTGTCTAAAACGTACGAACCGTTTGCCACATCCCTCCCAATCGCACGCATACTGTCCTCCCGTTCCCTTTGAGACACTTTTCTTAGCATTGGTTTCATTCAACTTCTTATGACTTCCTCTCGAATCCTGTCTTTCACTCAACTCTTCATCGCTTTCATCGATTATCTCGTCGTCTGATTCATGGCTGACATCGCAGTCATTGCCATCGGATTCGTTGTCTTCGGCCTCTTCTCTGACCACAAATTGTTTGACATTTTTGTCAACACTTCCAGCGATTGTCTCAACACGTGGTCCGCAATTGATGTAACATTTTCTGCCGTCAATTGTCTCCAAATCCGGTATTTTTTGTTTGAATTGAGTATTAATTTGTAAATCATTTAAATTTTTTCTCAATTTAATTGACAGTAATTTAAATCGCGATAAATCTGTTGACAAACAATTGATTTCACGTTTCAATGCATTCACTAATGAATACAACTCTTCGCGACTTAATTGAGACAAATCATCAAAAGTTTGATTCATTTTGAGCACTAATAATTAACGTTAATTTTGTGTTAAATAACTGTTTTTGATTTGTTTGGAAAGTAAGTTACTTTTGGTTTTGTATTGTGTTTAGTGCGCTTTTCGGTGAGTTACAAACGCGCTTTTTGGTAACGTATCTTAACGTCGAAACAAAATGCAATCAAAAAACTTGTTTATTGAGTGAAAAATAATTCATAAAAATTAAATTATAATTAAATTAAATATTAAATACACACTCAATGTTTGCGCGAAAAACCATTGCATAGAAAACGTCGAAACAAAATGCAATCAAAAAACTTGTTTATTGAGTGAAAAATAATTCATAAAAATTAAATTATAATTAAATTAAATATTAAATACAGAATTAAAAAATCAATTCATAATCGCGTTAATTATTATGGCTTTCCTTCACGTGTTTTATCACTTCCGACGACTTTTGAGACTTAAACTCGCAGTCACTATACGAGCACAGGTAGTCGTCGGTAGGTATTCCTTTCAAACCCTTGTGCCGATACACATGACTCTTAAAATTACTGGCATTCGTCGACCTGTACGCACAGTCGGTCCAATAGCACCGGTAGCTGCCTAACTGTTCGCCCTTATGGCACTTCGTGTGATAGTTGAGGGCAGCCCTCCATACGAACGTCTTGTCACAACCGGGCCATAGGCACGGGTAGACCTGAGCGCCGGTATGTGTATTCGTGTGCATCTCCAGCCCATTAGTGTCCGCAAACAACTTCTCACAGCCCGGCCAATGGCACCGGTATTGGGCGGACTTGTCGTGTACGCGCCGGTGCCTCACGAGAGTAGGGTTTTGCGAGAAACTAGCGCCGCACTCATCGCACCGGTAGGGTCTGGTATGCTTGGGGCCGTGTAGTCGTATATAGCGTCTACATTTGGTCCTAAACTGACAGCCCGGCCACTGGCACTCAAACCACGGCGAGTCCGGCATCGACTCCGGGTGCTGTGCCAACCGGTGGTGCGTTAGGGACTCCTTGACGCGGAACACGTGCTGACAGCTGTCCACTTCGCACCGGTATTGTCGGCGAGTCGTGTGTCTCTTGTTGTGGTGGGCTTCGAGGTATGACTGCGACTGAAGGGTAGCCGCGCAGCCCTCGACAGGGCACCGGTAGGTCACTCCCGAGTGAATGGGTTTGTGTCCTTTGAGACCACTTCTCGACGCAAACCTCTTACCGCAGCCCAAGTAATCGCAGACATACCGGCCCTCAGACTTGGGTCTATCCGCCCGATGACACGCCTTATGGCTCTTAAGGTACACAGGAGTGGCAAACTCTTTAGTACAGGTGCCGATATCGCACCGGTAGGTCACACTCGAGTGCAAGTGTTTGTGTCGTTGTAAGTGATCTAAACGTGTGAACCGTTTGCCACATCCATCCCAATCGCACGCATGCTTTCCTCCCGTTCCCTTCAAACGCATTTTCTTAGCATTGGTTTCATTGAATGTCTTATGACTTCCTCTCGAGTCCTGTCGTTCACTCAACTCTTCGTTCTTTCTATCGATTGAACTATACTTTGGTTTCGCTTTCAATTCACTCACTCTTTGACTATCGCTTGTATTCTTGTCTTCATTTTCATCAACACTTCCGAAGATTATCTTCTTCTCAGCCATTGATTCGTAAAACTTTTGATGATTTACTCGATTCTTATGTTTTTGAAGGTATGCAAGACATGGAAAGCTAGACAAACAGCCGGGTATATCGCACCGGTAGGTCACACCAGAGTGCAGTTTTGTGTGTTGTTTCAAACGGGCTATAGTTTTAAACCGTTTGCCACATCCCTCCCAATCGCATACATACTGTACTCCCGTTCCCTTCAATTGTCTTTTCATAGCATTGGTTTCATTCAACATCTTATGACTTCCTCTCGAGTCTTGTCTTTCATTCATCCGATCGTTGTTTTCATCGCTTATCTCATCGTCTGATTCATGGCTAACATCGCAGTCAATGCCATCCGCGGAATCGCTGTCTTCGGCCTCATCTTTGATCACAAATTGATTAACATTTTTGTCAACACTTCCACCGATTGTCTCAACACGTGGTCCACAATTGATATACATTTTTTTGCCATTCAATGCAATCAAATGAAGTAATTCTTGAATTAAATGCAAATCTATTTGTTTTGTATTCAATAAATGTGTTAAACATTTGTGACATTTGTTTAACAATAAGTCATTTCGCGATAAATCTGTACAATTGACACGACTTTCGGTGGCATTCAATGCAATCAAATCCACTAATTCTCGGATTAAATGCAAATCTATTTGTTTTGTATTCAATAAATGTGTTAAACATTTGTGACATTTGTTTAACAATAAGTCATTTCGCGATAAATCTGTTGACAAACAATTGATTTGACGTTTCAATGCATTCACTAATGAATACAACTCTTCGCGACTTAATTGCGATAAATCCGCAAAAGTTTGACTCATTTTGAGCACTAATTTAATTGCAATTAAAACCTAATTTATGCCAAAAATAACCGAAACTTTAAACACAATTCAAATGACAGTTCACTGCAAAACATAAACAAATCAAAAGTCAATGCCTTTCATACAAAACGTCTACAAATAAAAAGTTTTAAACTAACACGTAAGTTAATTTAGCATTGCTAAACATACTGACAATTTGCCAACTTGCCTATTTAACTAACAATAACAATATGCTGACATTTTTATTTATAATTTATAAATTACCTTTCACAACAATTTTGTATTATTATTATTAAATATATTATTTTAAAATTTAAAATTTAATTTTAATAAGGTGATTTTATTAACTAATTAATTTGACTGCATTAAATATTTTAATAAATTATAAAACTATTAACATAAACTGTATATAAAAAGTTTGCCGTAAAATGTCGTTAATTAAGGAGAAAATTTTGATTTTTAATAATATCGACGAAAATATTAAGCAAACGATAAAATTATTTCACGTTTTCGATGACAAAACTCTCGGAAAGAATATTCTGTTTGTTACCACCGATGATATGGTGTATGGATTGGGATCTAATACTGATGGGTGTCTGGGTTTGGGTCATAACGAGTTCGTATATTCACCGCAAGAAATACCAGAATTATGTCATCAAACGATTCAGACATTTATTATTGGATATGGATTTGTGTTGGCTATGAATAATACAAACCATATCTACAGTTGGGGTCACAATATATGGGGACAGTTGGGTAGAGATGTGACACCATTTGGGGTTTATTTAAAAGCCGAGAGAATATCGTATTTCGACGACAAAGATGTCCAAAAAATCAGTTGTGGTTCCGATCACTCACTGGCCCTCACATCAAATGGGAAGGTGTATGGCTGGGGATTGAATATAAAGGAACAGTTAGGGGGTAGTACAGTTATTAGAGAACCAACTCTAATACAATTCCCTAATAATTATAATATAATTAAAACAATTTATTGTTATAATTGGTGTTCATTTGCCATCACTTGTGAGGCACTAGTGTTCAGTTGGGGTGATAATAGTGGCCATCAATTGGGGCTAAATATAACCACTGATCGTGTATTGACTCCGCAATTGATATCAACGTTAAATGATATCAAAACTATCGCTTCATCGCTAGATATGACTTATTTTCTGTCAAACTCTGGATTTATATATTGTTGTGGAAAGAGCCAAATAATACCCATACAATTACCTGGATGTAATAATATCCAAGAATTATCACAATATGATTCAAATAATATCAATAAGATAACTGCCTTAAAAAATAACAAAATCTACCAAGTTCATGAAACAAACGAATGGATTGAAACCGAGTTTAATAACTTTACGGATTACTACGCGAATGAACACCAAATAACATACAATACAGCAATCAATTCATTAAGAAATTATTACCATGGTGATTTGATTGAAATTGGTTCGGGTGGTTTTGGGACAGTGTATAAGAATACGTATGGCATTGGAGTGGCGGTTAAAAAGATCGACTTTACAGGTATTTATCACTATAATAACTTGGTGTATTTAAATTTATAGGCAATTGGCAGTGATAAATGCCCTTGTTAACAATTATTTAGGCAATGATTATCCTAAGGAAAAGGTTTTGAAAGAAGTGGAGAATTTAATAAAAGTGAAGTCACAATATGTGGTCCAATATTACGACTCATGGACTATAGATAATTGTCTTTACATTCAAATGGAGTTATGTTCACAAAGTCTGCGAAATATTCTTGAAGTCAAAGCACAAGTATTTGAGAGACAATCGGGAGACCCCATGGATTGTGTCGAGTATTTCATTTCGTGTGAAATATTTCGACAAATCTTAGAATGCGTTCAATATTTACATGAATTGAATCCACAGATCATTCACAGAGACCTCAAACCCGAAAACATATTAATCGCAAAGAATGTAAGAAACGGTAGGTTTTTGAAATTATGTGACTTTGGTTTGGCTACAGTTCACGACAAACGCATTCACTACACAACAAAACATACAGCAGATGTCGGAGACATTAGATATATAGCGCCGGAAGTAACTCAGGGACAGAAATATGGTCACAAATCAGACAATTATAATGTGGGACTAATTGGTGGAGAAATATTTGGTTTCGACTTATTTTTTCTGAATATAATAAAGTAAATATTATTAAACGTGAAAATGTATGTACAGTATTTTTAATCATTGTTTAATCACACTTACAGTCCTCAAACATATTCAAACACATGGACATTCCTAAACGCACCGGTACTTCAATTACAGAGACTGTTGGTCTCAATGATTACGACAAATTGGACGCAAAGACCGGAATGTCGTGAAGTGTTGCAGAAGTATAACGAGTGGTCTATCGATAGGGATATGATATCTGAGAAACATTTCAATGTAATAGTGACTCAATTGAAATCACACGACAATACATTTTTTCTACAATTATTTCAACATTGCTTTCATAGAAAACCTAATCTATTATAATTGAACATTGTACAGTGTTAAATATACATGTTTAATATCATTAAATATACTTTTATATTATTATATTCAAGTTAAATTATCATGTAATATTATATGTTTACATTAGAAACTTCATAATAAAATTATTTTACTATAAAATAAATAAAATTCTAATTGCATCTAAAATTATATTAATTATTATGGTTTTACTTCAAATGTTCCGACAATTCCGCCACTTTTTGTGACATAAAACATAAATCTTTGTAAATTATAAAAATCAATTAAATACATATGATAATCAATAAGTCTACTGTACTTGATATTACATTATCTATACAGTATAACATTTAATACAATTGCGTATAATTGATTGCTAATAGTAATTATATGATAATTGCTAACAACTACTAACTGTTGATTACTCGACATTTTGTTCATAACATTATAAATTATAAAACTAAAAAATAAATTAAACATTAAAAAAACTAATTTTATTAGATTAGTATGATAGATATAAGAAATTACACGGTTAATTTAAATAATTAATTAAAATTATATTTTATTATTTTCATTTTTTTGTAATAAACACTTAGCAGTGAAATGCCGTTAAGTATCGAGAAAATTGTGATTTTAAATAACATCGAAACAGATGTTAAGGAAAAGATATTATTATTTCATGTTTTCAATGACAGAAACCGGAAGAATATTCTGTTCGTTACCACCGATGATATGGTGTACGGGTTGGGACCCAATAGATAGGGGTGTCTGGGTTTGGGTCACAACCAAGCCATAGATTCACCGCAAGTTATACCGGAATTAAGTGATCAAAGGATTGAAACATTTTTCATTGGATATGATTTTTGAGTTGGCTATGAATAGCTCGAACCAAATCTATAGCTGAGGTCACAACATGTGGGGACAGTTGGGTCGGGATTTGTCGCCAAAAGGGGTTATTTAAATAAGGGGTATCTTGATTTTCAAAATTTATTTGTGACTGAACCATATGTCGGAGCTGAGAGATCCCGATGCCATATGAAAGTTCATACCTTCCTCTATAAAATTGCTATAGTTTGTATTTATCTTGCTCATTTTGTTCAGAGTGTAAATCATATCTGCAAGAGTGTCTATAGAAATAACATTAATATAAGTCGCACCTGGGTGATCAGTATGTCAAAAAATTTGCCATACTTTCTAGTTTTAGAAACTGTCGAGAGTACCTTGCTATCTAGTTTAGTTTTTGAGATATTGCAATTAAAAGGCGGAGGTCCATGGTGAAACACCCTGTATTTACCCTTCCCTTGATCCTTGACTGGACCCTCAAATACTTGAAAGTCAAGGCAGAATACTTGACCCTGGTCACGCTACATCTAATATAAATTAAATATTAATAAAAATTTGTTATTATTATATTGTCGTTATTTATATCTAATTTGTATTTTGCAAAAAAACTATATCCGTTAAAAATAAATTCAAAAAAAAGTTTTTTCCCTAAATAGCTACAATTTTCTGAGTATATGCTAAACATACTAGCTAAACATGCTAGCATATGCAAATTGCCAACATGCACTATTTAACTAACAATAAAAATATGCCGACATTTTTATTTATAATTTATAAATTACCTTTCACAACAATTTTGTATTTTTATTAATATATATATTATTTAAAAATTTAAAATTTAATTTTAATAAGATGATTTTATTAATTAATTAATGTGACTGCATTTAATGTTTTAATAAATTATAGAAACTATTCACATAAACTGTATATAAAAAGTTTGCCGTAAAATGTCGTTAATTAAGGAGAAAATTGTGATTTTTAATAATATCGACGAAAATATTAGACAAACGATAAAATTATTTCACGTTTTCGATGACAAAACTCACGGAAAGAATATTCTGTTCGTTACCATCGATGATATGGTGTATGGACTGGGATCTAATAAGTATGGGTGTCTGGGTTTGGATCACAACGAGTCCTTAGACTCACCACAACTTATACCAGAATTATGTCATCAAAACATTCAGACATTTATTACGGGATATGACTTTGTGTTGGCTATGAATAGTGCGAACCATATATACAGTTGGGGTCACAATATATGGGGACAGTTGGGTAGAGATAGGACACCAAAAGGGGTTTATTTAAAAGTCGAGAGAATATCGTATTTCGACGACAAAGACATCCAACAAATCAGTTGCGGTGAACAACACTCACTGGCCCTCACATCCAGTGGACAGGTGTATGGGTGGGGATTGAATACGGAGAGACAGTTATGGGCTAGTACAATTACTATAGAACCAACTCGAATACAATTCGCGTATAATTGGAAAATCAAATCCATTTATTGCTATGAAATGAGTTCATTTGCCATCACTTGTGACGGACTAGTGTTCAGTTGGGGTGACAATAGTGGCCATCAATTGGGACTCAATATAACCACTGACTGTGTATTGACTCCGCATTTAATATCAACACTAAATGATATCAAAGCTATCGCTTCAGCTAAGGATATGACTTATTTTCTGTCAAACTCTGGATTTATATATTTTTGCGGAATTGACCAAAATATACCGGAACAATTACCGGGTGACAATATACAAGAATTATCGCAATTTGATTCAAATACTGTCCATCAGATTACTGCCTTAAGAAATAACAAAATTTACCAAGTTCATGAAACAAACGAATGGATTGAAACCGAGTTTAATAACTTCGCGGATTACTACGCGAATGAATACCAAATAACATGCAATACAGCAATCAATTCATTAAGAAATTGTTACCATGATGATTTTATTGAAATTGGTTCTGGTGGTTTTGGGACAGTGTATAAAACTAAGTATGACATTGGAGTGGCGGTTAAAAAGATCGAGTTTACAGGTATTTATCATTATAATTACTTGGTATATTTAAATTTACAGTACTGATAAATGCTCTTGTTAACAATTTTTTAGGCAATGATTATCATAAAGAAAAGGTGTTGAAAGAAGTGGAGAATTTAATAAAAGTTAAGTCTCAATACGTGGTTCAATACTACGACTCCTGGACTATAGATAATTGTCTTTACATTCAAATGGAGTTATGTTCACAAAGTTTGAAGAATATTCTTGATGTCAAACCACAGGTGTTTGAGAGACAATCGAGAGATCCCCTGAATTTTGTCGAGTATTTCATTTCGTGTGAAATATTTCGACAGATCTTAGAATGCGTTCAATATTTACATGAATTGAATCCACAGATCATTCACAGAGACCTCAAACCCGATAACATATTGATTGCGAAGAATGTAAGGAACGGTAGATTTATTAAGTTATGTGACTTCGGTTTAGCTACAGTTCACGACAAACGCATTCATTACAAAACACAACATAAACATACGGCAGATGTCGGAGACATTAGATATATAGCACCGGAAGTAACTCAGGGACAGAAATATGGCCACAAATCAGACAATTATAATGTGGGACTAATTGGTGGAGAAATATTTGGATTCGACTTATTTTCTCTGAATATAAGAAAGTAAATACAGTTTTATTACATATTTAAATGAAAACTTATGCACAGTATTTTAAATCATTGTTTAATCACACTTACAGTCCTCGACAATATTCAACAAGGTTTAGATTCCTAAACGCACCGGTATTTCAATTGCAAAAAGTGTTGGTCTCAATGATTACCACAAATTGGACGGAAAGACCGGAATGTAGTGAAGTGTTGCAGAAGTATAACGAGTGGTCTATCGATAGGAAAATTATATCTGAGAATCATTTTAAAATAATTGTCAATAAGTTGAAATCACGCGACGATAAACTTTTTCTACAATTATTTCAACATTGCTTTCATAGAAAACCTAATCGTCTAACGATAACACAAAAAATAATAAATTTATTAAATGCTAATAAATGATTTGGAATAATAATAATCTATTATAATTTAACATTGTACAGTGTTACTTCATTTCATTTCATGTGAAATATTCCGACAGATCTTAGAATGCGTTCAATATTTACATGAATTGAATCCACAGATCATTCACAGAGACCTCAAACCAGAAAACATATTGATTGCAAAGAATGTAAGGAACGGCAGGTTTATTAAATTGTGTGACTTTGGTTTGGCAACAGTTCACGACAAACGCGTTAATTACAACACATCAAACAAACATACTTCAGATGTCCGAGACATTAGATATATAGCACCGGAAGTAACTCAGGGACATAAATATGGCCACAAATCCGACAATTATAATGTGAGACTAATTGGCGGCGAAATATTTGAATTCGACTTATTTTCTCTGAATATAAGAAAGTAAATATTATTAAACTTGAAAACCTATGCACAGTATTTTAAATCATTGTTTATCACATTCACAGTCCTCGACAATATTCAGCAAGGTTTACATTCCTAAACGCACCGGTATTTCAATTGCAAAAAGTGTTGGTCTCAATGATTACCACAAATTGGACGGAAAGACCGGAATGTCGTGAAGTGTTGCAAAAATATAACGAGTGGTCTATCGATAGGAATATTATTTTGAATAATAATTCCGTAATAATGAATGGATTGCTATCACAGAACCTACAGAACCCACAGAACAACTCATTTTTTATTGATTTCTATCAATCTATGCTTAATCGGCCAGCCATTCAATATAGGGAGAAGCCATCATTTATTCGTAGAAATTGGTTACTTATTTCGGCAATAACTATAGGATTTGGATGTTATGGGGGTTATAAGTACGGGCATAAGTTATATCCTGTAACTTGATCATTATTTAAGCATGGGCCTTAAGGATTTACTAATTATAGTAGAGGTACTCGAGATTGTGATTGATAACATTTATCGGATATTAAAGTAAAACAGTAATTTAGTATCTATTTGTTTTATATAAAGTTATTATTTAGTATAAGATTATATTATAATAATGTTAGCATGTGCGATTGATTAATTTTGCTTATTGTCATATTATTGGTTGACGAGTATATTTGAAAGTTATTGTTTTAA